AACTGCCGACCCACGCTCGAGCAACAGGTAGATGCGATTGAACTTGTCATTCAGTGCACCTGGAGTTAGAAAGCTTCACACAAGGACATGGACTCCTTTCGACGGAATTTTAGACGGCAGCAATAAGTGGGAATTTGCACAGTTTTGCACGAGTTATCGATACCGTTGTCGTATGTTTTTTTCTAGTTGTGATTGCAACTGTTGTTGCTATTATATAAACAGTGAAGGGGAGTAATACACTCGCATTGTTTCAACGCACAAACTTTATCCATGTTTTTGTAAGCGAGTCAAATCACAGAGTATCGAAATATTATGAAATTTTTACAGATTGGCGTTTAAAATTTGTGGAACGAAATGTAACGTCCAGTTGGTCTTCGCAATGGTGTAAAATGTTGCAGCATAAGTAAACTAATCGTAATGGATTTCAAGAGCCCTTCATCATTGAAACTAAATTCTACCCATTTGTGCGCTAAGCTATATTTCAGTCGGTCGCGGATACCATACAAACAGACGAACTATCCAATACTCATGATTCGACCCCAGAATTTGCATCTATGCTATGTCCCAAAATTTTCTGTTTTCCTCGTCTACAACTGCTTATTGTTTGTTAATATGCTGACGTTGACTCACGGGTCAAACTTTGAATGCTTAATCTACCGTTTTGTCAATCTGGTCGTGAGTTTATTGTGTATATATTGTTTTGTAGTTGTTTATAGAACCACGCTGAATACCACCACTGCAGCCTGCGTACCTTTTCCCGCCCAGACCGTGCGTTTAAACTAGATTTGTAAGATCAGCCTTTATCATTATAAGCTGTCTTGTGTTTCGCTTTATACGCCCCACTGCTCGTTTTCAGATTTGCATTATTTGTCATTTATCGATCTCAGGATTCAATAGCTAAATTTCGAATTTCCGTCAATCCCAGTTTCCGATCGTGTCACTAAAACTGGTGAAGGGTGCTGGGTAGTGACGTCAAGTACGCTCATTATCCTCGGACTGTAGGTTAATCCACTTCTTTAAACAGAGTCCTGTCTGAGTGAAGCTAAAGAACGGTTAACTCTTAGCTTTTCATTCCATCCGGTGTTGATTTCTGCGTAGAATTGTTTATATGGAATAATATCCCGTTTGTATCACGCCTTATTATCGATATAAAGAATGGATCCCGTCGTTTCACCAATGCGGGAGATCTGTGAATAGTATGCCGATCTGAGGAATTGTTTATTGCAAGAAGAACCTGCCACTGGGCAAATGGGGGTGGGTGAGTGGGTGGGTGGGGTTACACAAAACCAAACATATAGTTTCGAGCAGAATAGTCACTTTAGCACGAAATACTCCGGATTAGTGGTCACACACATTTTGCAGCTACATACGTGATCCACTTTACCTCTCACTCCTCCGAGTCGTGACAAACCGCAAGCTGTTTCAATATGCGTACACCAAAATACTGCTCGTATACAATGCGAGTACAGTAATTGAATGTCCACAAAAGTGGTGATGATTTCGAAGAAGTTGTCAAACTCATTGGAATGAGAGATTAAAACATACCGCACTATTGTAGCGCTAGATCGGGAGATAATTATCAATTCAATGATTAGGTTATGAAGCCTTGTTGATGTGATCAACGAGAACCCGGCAGCCGTACTGAGACATTCTATAGAGGGCCATTGGTGAAGGACGTTCAGGCACATATCGATCAGTAAGACATGCATTATCGACTGCTAGTAGACATCAACCTGCGGAACGGAACTGGAACATAGTGAAGTCCTTAAACGGCTAGGATGTACCGATTGGTTTTAACTAGAAGTTGTACATTGACGAAGCTAACTACAACATACGATGTGCCGCACCTAAGGACGGTCATACATGGGTTGTTTAGCTATCCAAAGTCTTCCGTCCAGTAAATACCCTAACATGAACAAATCTGCATGTTCATCTATCACCAGTATCTTGAGCAACTGGTGCCACACAAAGATGACCAGGCATCTATACCGAGTTTCTCCAAAGCTGTTCTGCGTCTGCTGCTACTGAACAACCGATTGTTCCAGCGAATTCGCTTTCTCTCACCGTACAGCCCCATACCTTAGCCATCTAGAAGACGCCATCGATAAATTCCAACGGGTAGGCTTTTCCATTATTCTGATTTATTTTGTTATTACATTGAAAAAGACTTCACTGAAAATGTTGAAACCAGAGGGGTCTTGTCAAACGGTCTGTCGATAAGGATGCCTCATATAAATCCTGTATAATTAGTGGTGTAGGATGATTCATTGATCCACACACGTACTTAGGGATGTGTTCGACCATTTTAGTTCGCAGTGATCGGTCGGTTGTACCACTGTATGCCACATTACGTCTCCATCCGATTACACCGCGTCTTCTCCCCCCTCCCCCCCATTCAAAGATCGCCAATCAGTGGAGTCTACCTCCCATTGTATTTACACCTGTTGCAACTGCAACGGAGCATACATCGCAGAACCGACCGACCACTACGTACTGGAATGACCGAACACATCCCTAAGTACATGCGTGAATCAATGACTCAACCGACACCACAGATTCTGACTGCATCACATTGGCCGACTTCGGCCATCGCATGCCACTTGGTTAAAAGCGGTCATAAAGTAGCGGACGCGTTCTCGGTTTTGTTACGTCATCGCGACGAACACCGACTGAGGCAACTCGACGCAGTACTAGTCTAATTAATTTACCGTACTGCATTTGGAACAACCATTCACTCTGATGCGGCAGTTCTGGTTCATGCTTTTTGGCTGTCCATTTGAATGATGATGGATTAGAGGGTAGATTTGAATGTTGAAAACTGTATCAAAGTGAGAATAGCGAATTCTTTTAGACTGAGTTTGCAAGGACATTAAGTAGCGATGTATAACCGTCGTAACAGTGTTTGATCAACGGTGCAACATACGATCGCTACATCACTCTTCTTGTTCCGTAAACTTTACGCCATCGACGTTTGTAAAGAATTACATTTTTTTCATCACTCGTTGACCTCACAATATCTCGATACCTTTTGATCCGACTTGCTTATAGCAGCGTGACTGAAGTTTGAACTTAGAGGTTAAAGGACCATGGGTCGGGGTTAAAGAATTGTGGATCCACGTTGAAGAATCGCCGATTTTGGTTAAAGGTTGTTTGGCAAAAGTGTACAATGAACCGGGAAGTTGCCATGGTTCAGCCACCACGTCCACTGTAATTTGGACCAGGGCTGATGACGGAGTCATCCAATGTTCATGTTGTCGATGGTCGTGATGTCATGGTTTGTCGTGTCTCGTTTGATTTACTGGATGGTATCATTTCTCCTCGTCAGTTTCATGTCCTGGATGTGTCGTGAGACCTGTCCGACTAGCATTTATTCAGTCCGATGGGACTTGTCACACAAGAGAGCGAGAGAGACCACATGTGTCAGTGGTCCATGTGTGTGCACGTTGCACGCTTTGTCGTTCTCTGTTGGCCAACGCGTGCGGTGTGAAGATGACCTCGTCCAAGCATTGTGTGCGTGTGCTGGCCTTGCGGCCGCCGTCTTTTCTCGTTTGTCGCTTTTCTCTAGGTCGGATGACTCACTCACCCGGTTCGCGTCTGTACCACACACACATTGAACCAACCAGTCAGATGGCTAGCCAAAACACATCACAGATGCACTGTACGTGTACACGCTCCTACTCGCGTGCACATGCACACGCACGCAAAGGTCGAGTGCCACTAAGTTCACCAAGAACCTGGCATAGACACTCGTATCCGACAGGGAGTAGTGTCACGGGTACACTAATTGGCCTGTACTTCCCCATAGTTTCTGTCTT